TGGTATTGTTACTTACTAACCGGCGTTCCTTATTACTAATCACTCTGTTGTTAATTACCTCTTACAAATATACCAGTATTTATCCCTACAACTGTGTTTGTCTTTATTCGAATAGATACACGCGGGAACACTTCCAACAACTCAACACTCTGAGACTTTATCTTTGCTCAGATGTTTGGTCTATGGTATACTCAGCATCCTTCTGTGAAATCATGTTTCTGTTTCATCAAGTCTCTTCTTCATCTTCGAGGAGATTGTTAAGGATTTCCAGCCATAAATGAGAACTGATCAAAATGGAATAGTCCATTATACCCTAAACCATTAATTTCTAAATAAAACATAAAATCTTATAAATATATTTTTGGGATTAAAAGGGTCGATAATCTAGAAAAAAAAATGATTCAACCACAGAACATAAAGAATAATTCCCCATATTTCCAGCATCAATACTCTCTTTTACAATGTTTGAATCTAGCAATCATGTCAGGCGTTCCTACGAGTATTATGGAAAGTTAGTGCTATCTACCGGCTTGTTAGGTAATTGGCGAATAAATCACTTTCCCCATTAGGTTTTTTTTTTCGATAAAGAGAGTGGTTGTTCCTTCGTTGATATCAAGGGCAATATGTCGGTGATCTAGACGAACCTTAAAGTTGAAGGACCATCAATTGGATTTAGCATGAAAGAGATTGTCGCCTCTGGGTGTTGTCTTCAATGTTTACTATATATATATATATATATATATATATATTCCAAATGTAAAAGAACGAAGGATAAAATTCAAACGTTCAAAACATTAATATAAAACAGGACTCAATACTATAGTAGAGAAATAAATATTTATTATGCATAGTTACATTAGAATATATACGTTACAACTACACAAATGTATATTTTGTTTCAACGTTTAATAAACAACGTCTCATCAGGTAATTAACAATGATGGTATTACCAACATTGTTAACTACCTGATGAGACATTGTTTATTAAAGGTCAAAAGAAATTGTAAATTTTTGCAGTAGTAACTTAGATATTCTAATGTAACAGCGTATAATAATAATAATAATAATAATAATAATAATAATAATAATAATAATATGTGTGTGTGTGTGTGTGTTAATAAACAATAAAATCCAAAATAACCTCATATGGGGAACAGTCTATTTCGACAGATGAAGATATCGGTTGTCTCTCTTATCAGCCCCGGTGTGAACTGAGTTCATGTCAGATATAGAAATTTAACTGCGAAAGGTAAATAATAATAAACAACAACAACAACAACCAAAAACACACGAAAAAGACACAGTTGTAAAACTAATCCATAATTTATCTTTTACAGTTAAATTTCTCTTTCTGAAACGAACTCAGTCCACACTGAATTTAATAAGGTGACGATATATTCTTAGGTGCTTTTGGATTTTATCTTTTATTAACTATTCGCTCTGTAATAATAAATATATT